CACAGGCCTGTGATACCGGCTGATAATTCTTGTTTTGCTCTGTACTTAAGCTTTTTAAGAGAACACCATATTTCTGTAAGAAAGCTAACTTCAAGGGGTAATGGTAACATCGTTTACACTAGAATTATGATTTTTTTCTTTTAATAAAAAAAGCAGCAGCAGTGAAAAGAACAAGAAATTCATACTTTTTGCTAAGATATTTACAGACATTCCCAGAACTTGTGACTCAGTCATTACACAGTTATTGTTATAAAAGGAAACACTATATAGTATTGTACAGTTCTGATAACCCTATTGAGGAGATACCATTTCGATGAACAATCCAAGCCATCCCTACATAGGCAGTGCTATCACCTGCCTGATAATACCAGTTTTCTCACCATGATTATGTTCTCAAATAAAATAAAAAATTAGTCTTCTCTTGAAGCCTACTATAAAAAAATTATGACAAAAAAATTACCTATAACATAAGACTCCAAAGCCTTTGGAACCAATTTTCTAGCCTTTTCCAGGTCTTCAATATTGCATGTGCCCTTTTCTAAATTGTAAGCCAGCTCCATTCTCTTTAAAACTTCGATATCATCATGGATTTCAAAGGTGTTATCAAAAGTAAAAAGGTATTCTGTCCTGTAAGAAAAATTAATTTTTTAATTGATTTGATGGTCCATTAATTACATATAGTGATGAGTTAACTACTGACCTCTTGACACATTTCAAGAGAAACATGCTAAAATTGGCAAGTCTAAATGCAAACCCTATATGGTTAAAACAAACCAATATTAAATTTCCAGATTTCTTTTTATATTAAGAATTATATGTGTAAGTTAAGTTAAATGTCTTTAATCAAAACAAACTTGCAAAAGCCACAAAAGGACTATTGATTCCTAATTTTGAAAAGTTAGACTAGAGGGAAGGCAGCTTCTCAACACCATCCATTGCCAACACTTGGTTTAAGTGTTGTCAGACAAATTAGTGGAATTTGACCATCACTTTTATAATGCACTCCCAGTACCTGAGTGAGGAAAATGATTTTTTCAGATTTTAAATAGCTAAGTATTTAACCCATGTTGATTTTAACTTTTTTTTTCTTCCAAAATTGCAACAACATAAAAACATACATTTGGAAACCCTGTCATGAACTGATTAATTTTAATGCAGTTTAATTATCTATCATAAATGTATATACAAATATACCATCAATATTTTAAAAGTATTAGAAAAATGAGCATTTTTTAAGAGAAAGAGCACTATATAATTTAAAAATTGCTGTTCCTATATTCTAATGATAGATATAATTCATTTAGTAATTTGTCACTTTGAGAAAATCAAACATGGACCTGGACAAGCTCAGTTAGTCTGCTGGTGATCCAAGTGACAAAACATTTGTGTATATATATATTTAAACAAAATTGTAATATCAGCATTTGCAGTATGGCCAAAATAGCACAAATTAATTGTGTTTAAAAAGATGTATCTTTGCAGAAAATCTTTCCTTTTCAGAGTTATAGCTAATTTTATTTTCATTGCTGCCATTAAACTCTTTTAACTTTACAATAAACAAATGCAACAGAACTTACAGCTACAGTCAATTCATAATGCAGAAGTAGGTCTTATAAATTTCACTATTTTTCCTTTCTTTTTGTAATAGTGTGTTCTGGTTTTGAAATTCAACTGTTCTTTTTTTTTTTCATTTTCTATATTCAAAAAGCTTATGTAAAACCTATTATACACCAACAGGTTTAAAATGAATTGTGCTAAGTTTCTTAATACTCGTAAATAAATAGTTAATTACAAATTACAGTACTTAGATAAATCGATTTTATAGAAAATCAGCCATCATTAAACTTATTACATAATTAATACTTATATAACTTAAAAATCTGAAACTTGTTGCAGGGTAGAGTTAAATATATAATTCATAGTGACAAGGGGGGGGGGGGTGAAAAATTTGAGACTTACATATTTAATATTACACAAAATTATTTGATTCTTTACATTCTGCAGGTTTGATGTTGAAGTCAACACAATAAAGTATTTATAGCAGCTAGGATAAAAACTGCCATTTTGAATTTAAAATACACTAAATCTTTATGAGCAAATGGATTTGGAAAACAAAAATTATTATACATGTGGCTATATAAATGAATAACAACTTTGAAGTAAAAAAATTAATTTAAAATTGTACTGACTGGTTCAGTGAGGAATTAGTTACAAATATTAATGACCTTGGCTTCAAGATGAAAACAGTATATGATAAAAAAACGAAAATTTAGTACAGATTAAACTACTTACTTATCATTGGATATACTGCAGTCTATTACTGTGCTTTTATTGTATTCACTAT